AAAATGCAAGATACTGGTCAGAATAAGCTGATTATACTGTTTAGTATTTCATGACTGAACATAACAAGTTCACTGATAATGATTTACACAGTCCTGATGCTAACAGATCCTCTGGTCAGACAGACAAGCTGCAAATAGAGTTGCTTGGAAAATTTCCATATGAATGGTTATTTTTAATGGGAAATTCAGCTTTCTGCGAAAAAAATGAAAATCACTCACACTGGAAAAATTGAACGGTAATGAGTAGTTTCAACTGCATTGACCTAAATGGAGCTGACCTAGAATCGGTCAGGTCAGTTCAGTTTCATTTCAGTTCAGTTCTTCAGAAGGTAATATCAGCTTCCCACCAGTAAATTCATTGCTTAATGGTGGGTGTAGTTTGAGGGCCTAGTCCCTTCCATAACCTGGGTTTCCCTGAGGGCCACATCAGTTTTCATATCTCTGTCAACATGTGCATTTCCAAGGAGTTTAATAAACCAAAATAAACATTTTATTTTGTGTAACAATAACTATTTTAATCTCGGTTTTAAAAAAATCATTTGGGGACAAAACCAGAATTTGAAACACTATCATCTTCTGTGGGGTGAAAACTCTGAAATTTGCTTCTTGTGCCAAAAAAGCCACCGTGATGTTGCCTCTGATCTCCTCATTTAGGTTGGTGTCATTCAGACTCTGCTAAAAAAAATAGCTCTGCAGCCCTTGCACAGTTCTCTACACACTTTAGCATGCACCACAACTTTTAATAGCATTATTAAGACTCTTAGCAACAGAGGGACTGTTACAGCTGGGATGATTAAGGTGGCTAGCCAGCTATGTAGTCATTGCACCCCTGTGAATCATTGCGTAATGCAAAGGACTAGGGTTGGGTTTTTTCAGACAAGTTGTTAGTCAGGAAAAAAACCCTTTATTGTCTCCTGTAGTCCCGGCACATGAAGAGCAGTAAGTGACAATTCTGAAGTTATCACTTGGCCTGGAGCTAAGCATAAGCAAACTAGGCAATTATTTAGTGCAGCAAAATGTGGGACATTAGAACAGCCATGACCCCACTGCCCCTGTCAGAGCCCAGAAAGCCAAGCTGGCTGCTGCCTTTGAAAGGCCAGAGGGTGCACAGTACAGCTAGCCCTGTGGCTGAAGAGCAGCAGTGCCCTCTGGTCAGCAGGTTCCCCAGGGACCAGCCTCAGGAGCTCTGTCCCACTTCTGCCTCCTCTCCCTTTTCTGTGGCAAGAGGCCAGCACCTGGGCTTGTCCCAACACCACATCCTACTGTCGGGCAAAAGGCAGTTTTGCGTCCACTGATAAGAAACCTTGAACAAACCTGAACAAAAAGGTCTTTGCTGTTGCAAAGGAGCTGTGAAGCAGAATGTCCTTAAAATGGGACTGCACACATAAGACTCCTTTGCACATCATCCTCTGTAGTGTTGGAGCACTTATCTCATTTTGCTGACTTGAAGTAGGATGGTATGCAGGCTTTCTTGTTGCAAAGAGCTTACAGCTTTTTGGCTGAGATTGTCCATAGATGACTATTCAGTTACTCTTGCACAGTGTAAGTAACACTTAATTCCTTTCAGTAACAAATTATATGTTTCTACTTAACAATAGGAGATACCAGCCTCAAACTGTCCTCCCTAAAACCAAATTTAGCAAAGAGACATGCAAATGGGACCCAAAAAAGAGTTGGTTCAAGCCTCTGAAATAAATCCTTCTCGTATCTGAGAATGAAGAGAGATCTGAAGAAGAAAGTGTTATCCTTCTCCAGCTATGATAGTCATGGCAATGAATTTCCTAAATTAAGTTAGTTCATAAAGTCTTTCATATAGTATTGGATTAATCAATAAAATAACTGCTTTAGATTCCAGGGTCCATACTTTGTACATAATTCCTGTACTGAAGAGATGTCATTGCCTCTTCTTGTGGTCTGGTGAAAATATGCAGATCTTCTGCTGGTACCTCTGCCTAGAGGTGCTTTTTGTACCAGGGAACGGTACGTGCCAGGTCAGTGGATGGGGCTGTGAATTGGTGGATTCACACCAGTGGATGGGCGGAATAGCTTTAACCTTCCCTCTTCCCTGGCTGCCCCCAGTCTACAGCTGACTCTGGTGGGCAGAACAGGAGTGTGATCACAGTTGCTTTGCACTCCTACATTTTGGGCCTCTTCCACAGGTACCACAAACAGACACTTTTGCCACAGTTCATTCAAGTGAATTTGCTTATGTTTCTGTCACTGAGCAACAAGTGTGATCACCTTAGCACTGATCAGGACTGCTCAGTGGAATATTTGTAATAGTCCTTTAAAAATAGCTCATATTATTAGGTAAAGAACGTTTTAGAGACAAAGTCAGACATGTTAAAAGGACTGCATTTAGTAGCCAGAAAGCAAATTGAGAGCAGAAGTTTAAAAAATTATCGTGCTGACATGACATGAATGTGTTTGGCTGCACCCTATGCTTTGGGTGTTTGTCATGAGTGGAGTGACGATGCCTGAATGTGAGTCATCCAACAAATACTGCAAATAACATGTTCAGCATTGCCAGATTATAGGTCTAAGCAGAAGCATCCTTGGCATACATACCCACTGAAATGATAAACAGGTGGCCCACTATAAACCTGAGTATTGCATTGCAGAAACAGCCCTCTGGTGTGCACCTCACTCCTGTACTATTAAATATATTCCGAACTTCTTAATTGTTTCTGTAGTATCCTGCAGTGAGCATAAAATTGTTTGTATACAAGAAAAGAATTTCTAGTTTTGTTCATGACTGTGTTTGAAGCAGCATGTTATTATTTCTGAGAGAACGAAATAATCAGTGACACAAAATTATAGTTTCCCTGCCTAGAACAGCATCTCATTCAAAGAGGATGCCAAGAACAACAAAGCCTCAGAGGCTATTTATAATAGAGAAGGAAATACTATGAGTATGCTAGACTGAAATCCATGCTCTTTCTTTCTATGTTCTGTTACAGGCTTCCTGAAACTGCTGCACAAATCACTTTGACAATAAATTTCTTGTTATTCAGGCACCTAGTTCTAACTGAAAATGAATTCAGCACCTATACTTTTTCATTTTTACTTGTAGTCCATTTGCAGGTCCTGACAGTAGGACTAACAGCAATGTTCTGAAGACAGCAATGCTGAAAGCCTCCAAACCACTCTCTTACTATATCGCTACCACACTGCTGAGGATACTGCAGAAAAACAAGGACCAGAATGGATTTTAATATGAAATTTGAAAAAATAGAGTGAATTTGACTAGCTAATAATGTGAAAAGCTGTTTTAAACACAGCTATCAAGCCATAGATAAACAAATGCAGAAATGTCTTCCACAAAGAGAAGGCATTAGGGCAGAAAATGCAGGGACAATGAACAAAGAGTGGGCATCATAACAGCAGACTCCTGTCATATTCTGTCACTGCTTTTTGACTCAGGCAATTTTGCAGCTTTCAGGGTTTCGGTTTGCATTCAAGGAGTGAACATCCGGACTGTTCCAAAAATGACTGCTGAACTGCAGGAGTGGTTGGCCAGTCATGTTTGATCATTGATGCCATAGTGATCTGTGGTGAACAGCGTTAAGGAGTCGCAGACACTTTTTCCCATAACATAGTTTGTTGACCTAAGAGTTAAATTTCTCAGCTTCAACACCAATTCTTACAGACTATGAATTTCATTATACCTGCTACCAAGGTCATTGGAAAAATCAGATCAAGACTCATTTGCAGCCATCTAACTTGACCTGTTCAAATGCAGATAAGGTCACGTTCAGTTAATAAAAGTTGTGGGAAAATCTCATTTACATCATCAATTAAAAGTGTTCAGAAGTTTTTATAGCCCTGAGTATGCAAGTTTGTGACAACCCAGGATCCTGCAATTTCTGTCTGTTTCTCTCATGAAATAAAAGCCAGATGTATGGAAGTTAGCATTGGTGAAAGTGACTTTAAGATGATACTGTGTCATCATTTTATTAAAAGGTCAATTAAAAAATCCCATTAAAAAGATAAGTGGAAAAATCCTAAGTGCAATCAGCCATTCAATATTCACCCCTCAGCAAAAAGGACATTCATGCTTTTAAGTTTCTTTAATAATCAGTTTCTTCTCCTCCTTGGAAGAAAGTCAATATGCTAACTTTCAGAATTGAGCTGTAGGTCAAATATTTTTTCTTTTGACTATTAAAGCCTCAGAGAGAAGATATTGCTTAAGACAGAAAACACCACTTAAAAGTTGATCAAGATGAAATCTATTTAAAGTGAACAGTTCTCCAAGTTTTGCATTGTATATAATACTTGCATACATTTATGTATTTATATAACGTTGGCAGGGGAATATGGCAATACAACTATACTTTTCACATTACTAATTTTGTTGAAGTTAGTACCGGTGAAGTGCTTTCATATGGCCAGAAAGTCTTAGAAATTATGTATGCTGGTGGGCTTTGTCTGGTTTTATCCTCCTGCTGTACTGTCTTACCCATGGAGCACTATTGCACAGTGAGGACTGCAAACAGGAGAAAGTTATGGGGTTTCACTCATTTAGCACGGAGGGCTGAGCTCTCTGAGCCATGCTGTCCAGCATGACAGCCACAGAAGAAGAGTACAAACAGAAAGGTGGGGAAAAAAAACAATTTCTGGTGTTTAGGTGAATTTCTGCGAGCACTGGGACCAAATGTGTAAAGCCTGAGGGACAGTGACTCTGCACCATCTGGCTGAGGAACTTCAAAGACAGTTGCCACTGAGTAGGAAGGCTCCAGTGAGAACACGGTCAAGAAGGGAGGCTGCACCTGCAGCGAGCTTCAGAAAGGCTGCAGCACAGCTACAGCCTTTGGCTTAGGACAAGCCTCCCTAAGGCAGGAGAGGAGGGCCAGCAAGGGCCAGGCACTCACACCTCCAGCTACAGCCCAGACAGTGAGGTTTCATATCCCAGTCAGTCTAATCTTTGAGTCCTGCTATTTACCAATCTAATAAAAAAACTTTACTACGCTCACTAACCTTCTGTACTCTTACCTTTCCAGCAATCTTGACACAGAAGAGCTCTGTGGTAAGTTCCTTTTTGGACAAGAACATAATCCATGCCTGCGAAAGCCCTGTGCAAGTAAACATATCATGTGATATGAATCCTCCTGAAATTTCTCCTGGGAAAATGCAGATGGCTTATAATCTTTTCAGACTCTGTCATCCATTACATGCAGAAATTACTTTGAAATATTTTTCCTAATCAATACTTCACATTCTCTGAATTTCAAGATCTGTTCTGATATAAAGATAGATAGATAGATAACTTTTATCTTATTTCCCTTTCATGTGTGATATTTTTTCTAGTTAGTGTATTGCTTTCAGAGGTAGGAGTGCTTTGGCAATTTTGAAAGAGATTGTCATATTAGTACCCCACTGGAGGAAAATTCATTACTTTCCTCCAACTCAAGCCAGTGAGAACAGCAGTTTGGTAAGTTCTATCATCCTTCATCACAAATACTCCTGCAAGGCCTAGAATTTGGCCCATTTACCCATTTCTGCACCCCATTCTGGGCTGCAAGTCATCTTCCTAAAACCTGTTCACTCTCCAGTTGATCTTACAGCACCTGATTTAGGAGTGCTGCTTGCAGCAGAGAACAATTCACAGAGAATTTCTGCAAGTCCTCCCACAAAGTGTCAAAAACCCACTAACACTTGTCAAAACCAACCTATTTCTGAGGGAAAGATGGTAGCCTGCTAAATTTTCCAGTGGTCAACAATGTTGAAGACCTATAAAAGCTAAAAATACTGTCAAGTTAATGGCAGCTCAAGATTACCCATGGACAAGAACCCACTGAGGCACCTCAGTCTGTGCTTATAAATGTATGACAAGAGACTCAGCAGAACTCAATTAGGCAGTAACAACTTCTGCTGGTTGAGCATCTGGCCAAAATTATATAAAACTGGCCAAGACAGACAAGTGCTTTTGTTCCACAAGGGCTTTACTGCTGTTGACATTGCACTGGAGGCTTACAGGTTTGCTCAGCACCTGACCCTACTAGCCACCTCAGGCTCACCGGAGGGCTGAGGGGGTGTCAGCTCTGCACTGGCTCTGTTTGCTGTCTGTTATGATTAAATATGGGCTGCTTCAGCTGGCTTTTAAATCTTTCACAGGTTGTTACTAGGGTGTTTCACAGCTGTGAATCTGACACTGAGTTTACTCAAAAAACATTTAATCTAGTGATTATATGGCTCTTTCTGAATTATCTCAGTTCTCCTCAGAAATGAAGCTTCACTTCCAGGATACTAATTTGCAGTACATTTTCATTCTAAATCATTTCATTCAACCTCTCAGCAATACCAGGTTATGTCACAGTGTTCCTGAAACCTTTCATGACTCCCCTGAGCAGCTCATGCTGACCTCTTAAAAGCCTCAAACTATCGCTATTTCTTATTTCAAAAAGCTCCTATCTAATCTTGTTCTTCCTCTCTGCCATTTAGATATTGGTTTTCATGCTTTTCCATCTGATGTCTAAATGCCTTGTCTAGCTTTAACAAAATTTTCCTTCTTTCTTTTTCACACTTTTTCCTTCCTATGCCTCCTTCTATTGTATTTTGCTTCATCGACCAAATGGGAACTCAGGTCATGATTTCCCAGGTTTGCCTCCTCCTCTCACTGTAATCCCTCTGATCGAGTTTTGCCCCCTGATTTTACATCAGCTTTTTCTGTTAAAATCTCCTTTGCTTGGAGCAGCTACACAAGCACATCCTGCAACTTATGTTATTTCCATTATTTTTGTTAATGCATGGTATTTGTTGAAAATATAATCACAGTACCTGGGACTAGAAGCTTATCTGGCCAACTCATGGTCTCTTTGTTTCTCAGAGAGAAACAACTGGTCTCACCTGACCCCAACTCACAACAGCCCCCACTTGATCTTACTTCTCTAAGGGCTTTACAAGAACAATTCATTTTTGTATCAATATAATCAGATTTAGTATATACACATGAAAACTTCGTTTCCTGCTAGTAACTGTAAAGTAGACTATTAGACTGAAAATCAAGTTTAGAAAGAAAATGTAGATATTTTGAAAATAGATCTGTTTCAGCTCTCAAACTGATATTTTAAATTTTTGTAAATTTGACAAGTCATCTGTTGATACAAAGTGTTTTAAAGCACTGATTCTGGTATTTTTCGTACTCCAGAAATGTTTTTGAGGGGAAATAATACAAAATTTTAAAATAAAATCATCCTTTTTGTTGTAACTCTTGTTCATTTTATATGTTTAGATAGTTAATAATACCATAACTGAATTCAGACTTGATAAAATTTATATTTAATGAAATTTTTCAGGTCATTAATAGGTGACATGGGTTTTCTTCTTCTTTTAGAATATTTTTCCCAGCACTTAGGAGAGTATGAAAATGTTTTATCTGTCTTGGAAGACTTAAACATAACCATACTGAAGGCAATGGACAAAACAAAGAAAGTAAGTAAAAACGTGACGTTTTCTTTACATTGTGTATTTTTTTTTATTTGAACATGTATCCAGTGTTTTTCTTATCTAGATCAAGTTACTAATTCATATTTAAATTATTGCACATATACATGTTTGTAGCAAAAGTCCAGTAGGAAAAGGCTTGTCAAAATGGTTGAGTATCAAAGCTGTAAAGCTCTGTCTGCAAAGTGTTACAGTTTGGATATAACCAAAATTATCTTTGCGACTGATGTTGTACCAAGAGAGGGTTCCATGTCCCTGCCAAATGTGGGTAAGTATTATCAGCATATCAACATTTGGAAGTAGTCCGAATTTGAAAAAAATAATCCAAGTTTTTGAAGTAGAAAACATGTTAATAAAAGATGTTAATGACTTAAACCTATATTAATGACTACCATTAAATTAGGTAGGCAAGAGTCATCTGGAGACATACTGGGCAGTCATATTTACATTATTGTTAAATGTAGATTCTGGAGGGAGGAGATGTTTCTCAGGAGGAGCTCGGTTTCTCCACCTGTCTGTCTCTCGGGGGATGTAGCTGTGCTGCAGGACATGCTAGGCAGCCGATCCACTTGGCATTCAATTCATTGTGCTCATACATGCTTGTATGTTCAGATGTGCTTGTTCATACCACATCCCAGCTAGATGTCTGATCAAAAGTGCATCACAACACTGGGTAATATGCTCCTTTTCCCTGGCTGCTAAATATTCTGTACATGGTGGAACAGGTTCAAAAGGTGAGGGAAAGCACAAACCAGGGAAGGAAGTGAACCTAGATCCTTCAAAGTGGGCCCCAGACTCACACAAGACTATTCACTGGAAGGCAAGCTGCCAAGAACAGAAATTTCAGCCAAAAGTATTCAGTGGAGGGGAAAAAAGCAGGGTTTTTTTTCAGTCAATCCATGGAGAGATCAATGGGGAGAAAGCTCTGCTTCTCTAGTGAAACTGTTATCTTTGACATTCAAGTGTTTGCAAGAGTGCAGTACCCATACATTTTACATGAACTGCCAAAATAAAAACCTTAAAATGTAGCTGATTTATTTAGAGCTTGAGACAGTAAGTTGAATGTCTCTCCATTCATGCTGTGAATCTTCCACTCCTAATGAAGTGAATGTGTGCTAACTCACTGCCTCATTGAGCTGGACACTAGAAAGCAACAGATCAGTTTATTCCAGCTATGCATAATTAAAAAAAAAAAAATAGCCCTGTGTATAAACTGCTGCTAAAGAGCAGGACATGTCATCTGATAACTACTGGAAGTAAATAAAACATGGCATTTAAGAATTACTTCAAAAGTTAATCACCAGAAGGAGTCCCAGTAGACCAATCAGAGTTGTAAGAAGTAAGATTTGGCCTAACTAGAAAAATGAGTAAGAAAATCTGGAATACTAATAAATGTTTAATTTGTCCGCTTTGAAGAACCCATCAAAAAAATAACCAAGCTGCAATTTCTTTTAAGTTTATTTTCCTGACTGAAGATTTAAGCTTAATGGGTTTTCTCTCTTTCAGGAATATTCCAACCGACTATTTGTTAGAGGTGGCATAACTAGAGCAAGGCTAACACTGGAAAAACCACTTTTAATTCCAATTAATAGAAACAGTGTGTGAACACAGTCAAACAAAAAATGTGTCCTCAAATATTCCAGAATAGAGCTTTCTGCCAAGGGTATGCCCAGCAACTACAGCTTTGTATGGAACTTAAATTCTCAATGCAAGATTGGGATTATTTGCAACAGGAACTCAGTTCTCAGGAAACAGATAGGTTATGTGACCTAACTAGCTGATAAATCATTGGAGTGCAAATATTAAAATTTCCATCTTAAATAGTCCAAGCTTTTATTGAAGTTTATGGTCTAAAATCTGGAATATATCCGTCTAAAATCAGAGCAGAAAAAGCTAGTTAGCATATTGAGATAGCGTGGATAAATGGTGTTCATCACAATGACACACAAGATGTGATGCAGCTCCTAGCTCAAGTTGGCTCCCCAGCTCAAACAAGCAGGTGCTCAGAAATGAGCAGTCTGGTTATGAATGGTGATTGCCATGTATCCAGGGCAAGGCTTGGGTTTCCTCTCCTAGTGCAGAATAAAACTTTCTCCCTGCTCTGCCATTGCAGCCACTTAGTTCCTCGAATAGTCACTGAGTAATGGGAGCATTTATTACCATCTTCTAAGTCATCAGCTAGTTGGAAAATTCATATACAGAAAAAAAAGCACAGAATTTAAGATCTACACTTTGAGAGTTATAAAGACATGGTGTATCTACAGTGGCTGAGTCAGTTTCCAATGACCAGGACCAAATTTCCAATGACTAAATTCTCCTATTAAAAACCAAAAGTAAGAACTGCTGAGATTGAACCTGAACTCCACTCTGCAGAGCATGGGGACCCTCAGGATTGCCATGAGCTTTCCATCCCCTCTGACTTTTCATGGATTGGAGAAAGCTCAGCGCCTCCATCAGTCTCTGCTAAACTTCCCCAGAGTGCATGCAGGCAGGCAGCTCATGCAGTCTTAAATATCTGGGCAGGGAAAAGGAGCAACTTGGAACTTCATTAATTTTATTTATCCGGTTTTGAGTCAGATAAACAATCACCACTGAGTCCTTCCTGTAGAAAATCCCTGCTTTCCTACCAATTGAAGTTGCCTGTACTCAGTAGCTACTTTGCATGAGAGGCAGCTGCAGAATTGGAGCTCTTAGAAAAGTTGTTCAGACTCAATTTCCAAGAAACCCCAGAGAAGGAAGATGTAGCAGTCTCCAATGAGAAGCTTAACAGTGGATCGGCATGTCTGAAAAAATCTAAAAACCTAATCTATAAACTCTCCTTATTCCAGATATAGACAGAATTAGAAATGAAAACCTCCTAAAATGTAAAGTTTTATAGACTTTTTTTTACTTTTTGGCATATGTTAATCTACGTTTGATAACACCAAACTGTGTGGCATTATTTGACTCATATCTGTAAATCCAGTACACAAGTGTGCACCAAGTAGCTTTTGCACATGTTGTCTTGGTTTTTTTAATTATCAGTTTTGAAAATCACCTGCATTAATGAATAAATACATTGCATTTTGTTTACAAATATTTCCAACCTATTCAGCCTTTAGTCAGAAAGATCTCCCACCAAAAGCAACTGGAGTTTGGCCATGGACTCCTGGATTCAAATCAATATCAACCAAACTGTCCCCATCGCTACAAATTATTTTTAACCCAGCAGATTAGCAGGTAGTAACTCCTGCAAGGTAATTGCAGCATAATTTCTGTGTACTTTATTGCCCTCTGTGGTTTGAAAGGATTGTCAGCACAGCTGTTTTGAACTGAGCTTTTCTCCAGTCTTCCCGTCCTGTGCTGAGAGTGAAAATACCAAGTCATCTATGGGAGAAAACATCCCAGTGTGTTAGCAGGTTCAAGAAACTTTGAAACCAGACTTCCTTTCACTATACTGGGGCCAGATCACTCCAGCCTAACCAAATTAAATAGCACCTGAGAAGGAAGGAAGCCCTCAGGGATGTAGGAGTGGTTCATGCTCTGTTGCTTGATGGGAAGGTGCTAAGCTAAAAATGCAGAGAAAGAGATATAGCAAGGAACATCTTTCAGCAGGGAAAAAAATTAGTTGCATTTACAAACAACATACTTTTAATACAAAAAAAAATATCTTACCAGAAGATGCTAGGGGAGCTACAGTCCTTCTATTTTGGTACTTGTCTCCTGTGTTTTATCATTACACAAGCGAAACACATATCTGAGGATTTTTAGGGGGATTTGTGGCATTTGATATTTGATCATTTCTGTCCTTAGGCTGGAGAGTCTGTATGAGTTGTTTATACAGGAGTGGTGAGGACAGATTAATCATTGGTGTCAGTTGTTTTTCTTGTACCTGCCAGGTTGATATTTTCCTGATCAAAGTACGAGCTGGAATAGCGTTCTTTATCTCATTTCTTCTTCATCTTATATACAGGAAGCATTAAAAATTAAAGACTCAGCAAAACTTTACAAATGCATTGGAAGGCTTGTTTCTTTAAGCCTTTTTTTCCTGACATCTTTTATAACAAAATGCAGAAGCATATTTAATTAAAATATTTAATCACTTTTTTATTACCCAAATAAACATAGCATTTTCAGCAAGTTGCATTTTTATTACATTCTGTAGCTTGCTGTCACATGTTAATACAATTAAGAGAAACTTTGCAACCTGCAGAACAGAAAATAAAATCTGTCACTGAATAATGGTATAGATAGATAAAAATAGACCATTTTTTTTTAAGATGCTTGACATCTTGGTTCTATTGACTTGTGAATACAGAAAATCAGAAACTTGCAGACTAAAGAACATGTCTTCCTTAAGTTACCCAGCCACAAAATTGTTGCTATTTCTTGGCTATTCAGTAAGAACAAGTTTTGCTCTATCATTTTTATTTTGGGTATTGCTATAGTTTATTGCAAATGCAACCTGCTGCTGGTGGTGAATTATTCTGTACTCAATAATCTAAGCTCATTTAATCACCAAAAATGTAATTTTCATATGAAATTAAGTTGACAATATAGAAGTATTCAGGCACTTATACAGGCATCTCGTGGTATTTTAGAAAACCTGAAGTATTCAAGGATATTCAAGATGTCTGCAGAGGCCTGATGAATAGCACATAGGACCTCTAGGAGACCCAGGGGCAGGATGAGACCTGCCTCTGGGGCAGAACCTGGAAACCAGATGGGTCTATGTAGGGCACCAGACTCCAGTTTAGGTACCTGATTAGCTCTGAGGTCTCTGAAGGGTTTTTCCCAGAGGAACTCTCTCACAGAGGAAGAGCTGGTGATAGCTTACTCTGATCTGACAGTGCCTTTTATCAAAGTCAAAGACCCATTTGAAGTTCACTTTTTTTCACCAGCTGAAGAGCACTCCCCTCTCCTCCTGCCCCGTGCCCTTCCTTTTGCCAACAGCATGGGGTCATTTTCCCACCAGGACGTATCCCCGTATGCCCCTGTCCTCACTGGCA